CATTTTTCTCCTCAGCTTTCTAAGATGAAATGTGGGCAGTAGTTCACTGTTACCTAGAAATCTCTCTGTAAAATCTAGAAGTATAAAACACCTGCAGTGGATTCAAGAGGGTCTCCCAAATTCCCAGCCCAGCTGGAACTTCAGTACAACACCCCACTTGCAAATAGTCTTTGCAGATATAATTAGCTAAGCTAAATCAGATTAGATTGGACACTGAATCTAGTGACTGGAGACCCTCAGAGAAGTAGGCCATAAAGATGCAGACAAAACTGGGGTGATAAAGCTATGCATCAAAAAACCACCAGCTGACAGTTATGAGAAATTAGGAAAAAGCAAGGAACAATTTTTTCTTCCCTGAAGCTTTCAGAGACAGCATAGCGAGTACCTTGACTTTGGACTTCCAGCCTCCAGCAGTACAAAACCAAATGAAAACCCACATTTATCATAATTTACCATGGCAGTTCTGGAAAAATAATACAGTACCTCAAATATGAAACCTAGATTGCATACTTGGAATTATTATTTTTATTAGAAAGGTGGATATACAGAGAGGAGGAGAGACAAAGAGGAAGAACTTCTGCCTGATGGTTCACTCCGCAAGCAGCCACAACAGCTGGAGCTGAGCCAATCCAAAGCCAGGAGTCAGAAGCATCTTCCAGGTCTCCCATGTGGATGCAGGGACCCAAGACTTCAGGTCATTCTCTACTGCTTTCCCAGGCCGCAAACAGAGCTGGATGGGAAGTGGAGCCACTGGGATCAGAACCTGCACTCATATGGGTATCCTGGCATGGGCGTGTTCAAGGCGAGAACTTTAGCCACTAGGCCACCATGCTGGGCCCTAAAATATTTTTTTTATTAGTTACATTGCAAAAATATTTTTTTAATCTTGTTTTTGATCAAGCCTTCCAGGCCTCAGCAGTTACTTCCTCTACTATCTGTACTTTAGGCTGAAAGTCTCCTTGGGAAACTAAAGCCACAAGGCCCATGCAGGTTCCTGACAGATGGCAGAAAGCAATTCTTGTTTTTCCCCAGTAGGATCACTAGTGTTGCTATAGACTGACTTGTGTCTCATTGAAGTCTTAACCTTGGCAGTCTAGAATGTGGCTATATATGTGACTGTTGAGACAGACTCTTCACACAAGTGATCAACTTAAGAGTCGTTAGTGTTGTCTCTAATTCAATATGCCTGATGACAGGAACAAAGAGCATGATGTGAAGACAAAAGGAGACAGCAAGCAACCACGCGAGGAGGGAAGCTTGGGGGAGACCTCTGCCTCGACGATCCTATGGAGCTCTGACACACTATTCTCAGATGTTCAGCCCACTGTCCAGGAAACAAGATGACACCTGCTGTTCAGACCACCTAGAGAGTGGTACTTGGTGACAGCAGCTCTAGCTAGCTGATACAGCTGTCTGTCCTTAAACAGTATGACAAGGAAAAACTGAGATAATCAAAACTCAACTTTCCAGATTCTAGTATCTGTGAGACTTTCTAGCTCACCTTAGTGCCTGGCAACCAAGTACCAGTTACACTTGTAATCCTTTCCCATAAAAACCTTAGATTGCACTTCATCGTAAGTGCCATGCTGAATATATACTACTTAGGTTAACTCTTTCAGGAGCTATACACATATCACCAACAGCTCATCTTTATACAGATATCTTGTCAATTCAAAATGTGAAGATGTGGAAAACTGAAATCTGCAACACCCAAAAGCTGCTAACAATGTTTTGTGAAATCTAGTAAGATCTGGGTGTTAAGATCCAACTCCACGAGCATTTTATCTAATCTTTCTGAGATTCAATTCCATGTTTGTAATACACATTCTATAAATAATTCCAATTCAATGCAAACAAAAATATAAGACCCTCTTCAAAGGATGAATTTAAATATTAAACTAGGTAGCTTAAGTTTTTGAAAGCTATACATATTAAAAATGACTCTCCAGGAAATTACAAAGTCATTTTCTCTCTGGAACACAACTTGTTGGGTCATCACTCATGGCACATTAGTAGGAAGCTGGGTAAGAAGCACAGGCAGAGACACAGAGCAGCAGACTAGTGGCGAAAGTATTCACCCTAGCACGTGCCGGGATACCATATGGGCGCTGGTTCTAATCCCGGCAGCCCAGCTTCCCATCCAGCTCCCTGCTTGGGGCCTGGGAAGGCAGTAAATGATGGCCCAAAGCCTTGGGACCCCACACCCACGGGGGAGACGTGGAAGAAGCTCCAGGCTCCTGGCTTCAGATCAGTTCAGCTCCAGCTATTTCAGCCACTTGGGGAGTGACCCATCAGATGGAAGATCTTCCACTCTTTCTCCTCCTCTCTGTATATCTGACTTTCCAATAAAAACAAACAAACAAAAAAGAGGAGCAGCAGCACAGGCAAAACTATGCCCAGACACTCTGAAAAGGCATTTTAAGTGGCAGTTTAACTCACTGAACCGTATCCTGTCCCAAAAGTTGCACCTAAGCATTTTATTAGACTGATTTATCAGTTCCAAGCCTCTTATTCATATAATCTACATCACATTCCCCTATCTGATGTCTCTTTCTAAAACACCCAATTCAAAAGTGTTTACCAGCTCTGTAATCCACAGTATAAGATTACAACTATACATTCCTGAATTCTGCGTCACAGCTGGAATCAGGACGAGCATGTCCACCATCCATCCCAAGTCTTAGGATCAAGTAATGTTGCCTTCAGCGTTTCAAAGATTGACTGTGCTGCCTGCTTCCCCGAAGTGTCCTGAACCTACTCTTTAAGGTACCCAGGGTCCTTTCTGTAAACCCACTCAATATGAACAGAGATCATCAAAAATTTCAATTTGACCCTAAGTTTCCTCTCTTCAACTTCCCACTTTGGGAGTCACCTGCCAGATTAGATTGATGCTCTAGTATAATTATTAACTTGGTCTTAACCTTGTAACTATACAAACACACTCATAATAAAGTTAGGCTGCTCAATTCTAGCACACACCCAGCACACTGGGAAGCGTGGCTGTTGGTCAGTTTCATTCTTGGCCTAGCATGTCACATCTATGTCTTCTCATTCAGAGTCTAATAGGATCAAGTTCCATAGAACTCTTAAACTTACCTTCTTACACAGCTCTGCAAGAATGCTCTACCTCAGCCACTCATTTCAATCCCATTATTCTAAATACCCTCATTATATAACATTTTTTTACTTTTTCTGCCTTTGCTACTGTTAAATCAAATTCAGCACAGAATATATACACACATAAATTCAAACACACACAGTATACTCAAGGGGCTCCAAAAAGAAAACCAAATTCAAGGATAATGTACATGGGCCCGGCATAATGTTCCCATTAGCCAATCCTCCCTTTGCAAGTATTAGGATCCCATGTGGGTTTTGGATCCCGTCCCGGCTGTTCTGATTCCCATTCAGTTCCCTGTGTATGGATTGGGATGCAGCGGAGAATAGTACAAAAGCCTTGTGACCATGAACCTGGGTGGGAGGCCCAGAACAAGCCCTTGGTTTCTGGCTTTGGATCCGTTCAGTTTCAGTCACTGTCATGAATTCAGGAGTGAACCAGAGGATGGAAGATATTTCTCTCTGTCTCTACTTCTCTCCATAAATCTAACCTGCCTTTCCAATAAAAATTTTAAAATCTTTTTTTTTTTTAAGATTTATTTTTACTGGAAAGTCAGATATACAAAGAGGAGAGACAGAGAGGAAGATCTTCCGATGATTCACTCCCCAAGTGAGCGCAACGGCCGATGCTATGCCAATCCAAAGCCAGGATCCAGGAACTTCTTCCGGGTCTCCCACACGGGTGCAGGGTCCCAAAGCTTTGGGCCATCCTCGACTGCTTTCCCAGGCCACAAGCAGGGAGCTGGATGGGAAGTGGAGCTGCTGGGATTAGAACCGGTGCCCATATGGGATCCCGGTGCATTCAAGGCAAGGACTTTAGCTGCTAGGCCACCATGCCAGGCCCCCTACCAAATTTTTAAATCTTAAAAAAAGGCAATGTATATTTCCCATGAACTTCTTGAAGTGCCTTACAATTTCAAATATACTAATACATGAGTAACTGATATCCACTACTAGAGAGGTCTTCAAAAAACACACAGATGTGCATAGTTTGAAAAATATATGCATAAATTTTAATGTTTTTAACCAAAAAATATATATGCACACATATGTGTATATGGTGTGTATGTATATTTTAGAGGCAAAGAAGTCTCATCTGCTAATTTAGTCTCTAATTTCCCAGAACAGCCAGGGTTGGAACAGGTTGCCCAGAGCACAGGGACATAGATCAGGTTTCCCATAGAGTGGACAGAAATCCTATTAATTGAGACATCATCGTCACATCACAGGGTCTGTATTGTTAGAAAGCTGGAGTCAGGAGCCAAAGAAAAGAATGAACCCAACAGCTATAATGTCACCAATAGTAAAAAATACACTGAGGTCATATGCCCAGGTAATTTTTACTTTTGAAAATATGGTAGACATGAAGCTGCTTACCCAAAAAGTTATGAATACTGAACTAAAAAATTCCCAATAGCAAAAGAAGACATTTTATTCTTAAATATATCTTTGCAGAAATAAAGCAAAAGACAACTTAAGTTCATGAAAATTCAAAAATATTAAGTAGCAAATAAGTATAGACTATAAAAGGAAATTAAAAAACAAAGATGTGTCGTACAATATTAAGATCCTCCCAACATGAAGAATTTCTGCATATCAATAAGAAAAATCAACAGAAAAAAACAGAATAAAAAAAATCAAGAAAGAAAAAATGTGAACGATGTGACATCCCTAGCTACACCATCAATGCATAGCAGCTTTCCTCCGTATCCACGGACACAGAAGGATGGCCCTGTTTAGTTAACATCATTGCAGATGATCAAAAGAGGTATAAATTTGTACAAATCAATCTACACGTCCCCAGAACTTCCAAAATCTGCACATTCAGAGGTGTGGAACATCTGACAAACGTGAAGACAAAGAGAACCAGCAAAACTGCCTACCTTCCCTGATGGCCGTGAAAGGCGTACCTTCTTCCTCCTGCAGCCTTATCACCTTCAGGGCTACCAACTTCCCATTCACTCTACAAGAAACCAAAGAAAAGATGCAAAGTCAAAATATGCATGTGCCTGTTGCGGCCTTATTGGTCTTCCTTCCAGTTTATACTTTGTACACGTTGGCAATGAAAATGTCAGTGACTCAGTTACACAGCACAGCAAGACTATTTCAGTAAGGCTGGGAAGTCTACATCATCATCGTAATATTCACATTTTAAGTGTTCACACTTCCAAAGGCCAAGACTGAATCAAAGGGTTTATTTTTGTGATTCCCTGTGCTTCTTTCAGAATGAAACCAACGCTTAACAAAATCACCATGCCTGACAATTATTCTCAAGTAAAAATCAAGCAGTCGAAATAATTCTGTTCCTTTGCATCTCTACTAGCTGCAGCTCTGTTTCTTTGGCTGAAACGTCTTCAACTTCCATCGTTAGTTGAGGTCATTCACTCTCCAGGGACAGACTCTTGCTGCTGAGACTTCTTCCCCCAACCCAAAACACCCACTTGTTCCATTTATCCTATTTTCTCTGCGAGCCTCCTAAAATCATGTTTTGTCTGTTTTACATTATGTATATCATCAAAAATAAATTATGAATATACTATTACAGGATTGCACAAGACATATTCAAAACAGATGGTTCTTTCAGGCATGTTCTAAATGTGTGTCGGCTTTAATTAAAAGTAAGATTGCACTATGGATACAGCTTTTTATCCAGGCAGTTCTGTCAATCTACTAAGACAGGATCGTCTGAGTGTCTTCTGCTGGGATGCTCTCTACTGTACCTTTAACAGGATACTTTAAAAAACCTGTTTTCACTAACAAAATAAACACCATCTACTAAAAATGCCAAAGATATAAGAATGCATTTGGTGAAAAGTAAATCTCACTGCTAGGTCCCCCTTGAGCCAATCGGCTCATTTCCTCTGGGGTCACCACTTACCATTGTTCATATGTATTTTCACACATGCAAACTTTAAAGTATACAAGGAAATTTCACAGAAAATGGATTGCAAGGCTGTGTTAGCATTTAAAAAAAAAGCGAACAAGCAAAAACACAAGGGTTAGAGTTGTGGCATAGCCATTCTAGCCTCTGTCTGATGTCAGCATCCCATCTGGATGCTGCCCAAGTCTCATCTACTTCACTTTCAATCCAGCTCCCTGACAACGGCCTGGGAAAAGCTGTGGATGACAGTCCAAGTGCTTGGGCTCCTGCACCTGTGTTTCAGGACCTGGGAGGTTTTAGAATCAGCAAGAACTCGAGTGACCTAGAGAATCCAGTGAGTGAATCTCAAATTTTAAAAATTTTATTTCTCTTTTTAAAACACTACATCTAATTGATCTGATTTTGTTCAAGTCATTGCCGCAGATACAAAGCCCAAACGCCAAGTAACAGATCACAGTCCACTATCCAAGCAGCATTTCTCATGTAATTAATTGCTGGAATACACCGTTTTCATTATAGAAGTGGAGTAGGGGCAACTAAATGCAAGGTTTCACAGCATGTCACCACTCTGTCTCCTGGAGGCAAGGATTATCTATCACTCCTGTCTTTCGGCTGCAAGGACAAGCCTGCAGTGGAAGGACAAGCCTGCAGTGGAAGGACAAGCCTGCAGTGGAAGGACAAGCCTGCAGTGGAAGGACAAGCCTGCGATGGAAGGACAAGCCTGCAGTGGAAGGACAAGCCTGCAGTGGAAGGACAAGGCTGCAATGGAAGGACAAGCCTGTAGTGCAAGGACAAGCCTGCGATGGAAGGACAAGCCTGCCGTGGAAGGGCAAGCCTGCAGTGGAAGGACAAGCCTGCAATGTTTTTGCTCTACAACCTCCTCTCCTGTGTGCGTTACCTTGGTTTCTCCAATCCTGTGTGTGTTCTAGGTGCCCAGGTGCAGTTAGGAAATGACTCTGCGTGGGGTTCAGCTGCAGCCTGCACCTTGTGTGCTTCTTTTGGTCCTTTAGGCCTAGGGGAGGCCGCTGGCAGGGCTGGGGCTGGAATCCAGTCAGTGCTGACATCTGCACGATTTGTCTCAACCCAGCTGTGCTCATCACTCGCTTCCCAGGGAGGCAGTGACTGCAGCCAGGAACTGTCTGCAATGCTCCCTTCATTTGCAGGCATCCTCCCCTCACCCATAAAACACACCACCTTCTCACAACGCTTGTTTCCCCTGAGAGCTTGTACTTGGCATGCACTGTGGACTCAATTCTGGAATCTGGAGGTGTGGTGCACCTGAGGATTGACATACTTAAAATGCACTCAGGCCATGAAAGTACCGTTCTAGAACATACCGGAAACAAGCCCGTCAGTCAATGAACCCCCAGCAATCTAACAAATATTTGTGTTATTTTTCTGATGCCAAAAAAAAATCTTAAGAAATTTTCTATGACAACTGCATAAAAGAACAAGACCCAGACTTAGGGAATTCTGATCCAGAACAACTCCTGAATTGACCTTTCAAGTGTTTTGATAGTTGTAACACTTAATAAGGTTTTATATTATTATATCATGTGATGCTAAATTTTTTCTGCTGATTGCAGCATACTGTATGCTCTAGAACTGAAGGATTTTTTCCCTGTTTTCTTCACTGACCAATGCCCAGTAATCAGATGTTTTCCAGTATGCATCAGATTCTCAAAATGTTTTATGAAATATTAACATCATGAACTGCTTGACATTTTCCACCTTGTACATTCAAATTAGTCCAATGAAGCATCAAAATGCTCCTCAAAATTTCAGGAGGATAAAGATTTCATAGAAACTCCAGAGTCTCATTTCATGTTTGGTTTAAATACTCATTTTTCTTTTCCAGGTTAACAGTGTGGGTTTTAAAAACACATAGAAATAGAAAGTGCTCATTTCCTTGAAATTTTAGAATTTGGAGAATGCTTTGTTCACTGATCTTTTTTGGACGCAACAGACATGCTTCAAAACATGCAGCATTCTTAATTAATCGACTCAGCACACACCACTCAGTACCGCTCTTTAAATTGCTTCATTGGTTCCCCATTATGAATCATATTGATTATCAGATTGCTCTTTAACCTAAGAGTCACTGTGACTCTTCAGCTCATAATTAGCTTTTCTCTACTTGTCTAGACACTAACCAACTGCTCAATTTCTCAGTTTTAAAGGCTAATAAATGGGCAGGTGCTTCCTCCACTTTGGGAAATAGCATCTTTGGAAACAAACAATATAATGAAATTTTCTAATGTAATCCTTCTCATGCTTATTAATTTGGAATTGCCTGCATATTAAAATTTCACCTGAAAGGCTTACTTGTAAAATTTCAGCTTTTAAAGATATCAGAGGAACATATCTGTTAGCCTACGAAAAACAAAATGACATTGTGCCTTCTAATTATCTTGGTTTCAAGCTATTTTATGAAGGTTCAAAACATACAAATCAAGCATTGATTGAAATAACTTAAAATAATTAAAAAATTCAAGTAGAATCAATAAATTAGAGCTGTTTACAGGAAAACATTGAAGATTCCTCTTTAACAAGTCTTATTAATTAAATGGAAATCTAATGAATAGAAGGCAATCAGGCTTGATTGCCAGTTGAGACATTAATTCAGGTGAACAGCATGGTGGGAAAAATGTTTTAAATTCTGTTAATATTACTACAGAATGTTCTACAGAAAGTACTGCCAAACACACCTGTAGTATTGCTCTAAGCTAGGTAGAGAGATGTTTTGTTCCCAAACTTTTTTCTTATCTTTCACTTCCAAACAACTGACCTCTCGAGCTTGACCACATGGTGAGGCACACTTCAGGCCCAAGGACGGGTCACTCACTGCTCCAGCCTGCCCGTCAACCGCACAAACCCTCACTGTGCGGCCCGAGGGAGAGCTGCACGCACAGACACGTGGGAATGATGGGTGGCCGGGAAGAGCCACGCTGCAGGATTGGATTTCAATATATTCTTTACTTTTCATATTTCAACATTATACATTTTTTAATTTTAATTTTTCATGATACACTTCCGTAGGCTCAAAGGATTCCCTTCCACCCACCTCAACTTTCCTCCCACCTATTGTTTTCCCCAATTTCATTACAATAGTCTAGCCTTTCAGCAACATGAATTATTGTCACAAACCCCAATACCTGCCAATTTTAGGAATTCTGTGCACGATTGTGGGTGCCCCAAATTTACAGCTATAAAAGGATCTTGTGAGACTGAACCAAGTTCTACAAGTTCAGAGTGAAAAGAAAATTTATCCTTTCCTTTTGTACATTTAATGTTGTGTAAAATCTATAAATGAAGAAATCTCCACATAGCTCAAGGTATATTTTCCAGTTTCAAAAAAATAGAGAATTTCCTTTTGGAAAAGCAATTCTCAGAGGATGGTCTAACAGGATTCTATTCCATTAGTTACCTCAAATTAATAGGATAACTTAGTACAATAAAACAAAATTACAAATATTATCTAGGTCATCTCTGAAAATATTATCTATGTGCTAAAACCTTGAAGAAATTATGTCTAGAGGATATAAAGGAAATTAAAGCAATATACCTAAAAGAAATGTAATATACTTTGGGAAATTTAATATGTTCTGCCTCTCTCTTCCATTGTGATTTTGTCTCAAGAGACACTAATACAGAAAGTAATATCAGTTACAGGAATATACAAAGCTTCTGTCTCCTTACTGTTCTGGTCTAGAGGTGACAGAAGCAAACGTGGACGCTCCAGTGCAGACAAAAGTGGAAAATGAGAATACATCAAGGACAACATTTTGGTCTGAAATTATAAACTGTTAGGAAAGTTATTTAAAAAATCGGAGAAATTATACTGTATTATATTTACTAATTTTCTTTTTAAAAGCTAGTTAAAATGAACATTAAAAATGCTGAACATACTGCATTACATATACATTTTTAAAATGAAAAGTTTAACAAAATATTCCTGGGTTTGCTGTTGTCGTTACCATTCCTTTTATTCATGTGTGAATGACATGTCATCACATCCTCATTTGATCTTTGCTCCTGTGGAATATCCAATCTACTATCCTTCATTCCACAAAGCTAAATTA